GGGCGCGCTCTCCCCGCAGTGAGACCGGGATGCGACCCGGACACCGGGATGGGGCTCGGGCACTGTGACACTGTGACAGCCGCTGTCACTGAGCTGTGGGCATGGACACTGTCACAGCCACTGTCACTGAGCTTCGGGCATGGCCACCACAGCACAGCTGTGGGCACAGTGGATGGCCAGTGCCACTGTGCTGTGGCCATGGTCACTGTGCCATGGCTGGGGACACCACAGAACAGCCAGGACACCTCGCCATTGCCAATGTCACTGTGTTGTTCCAATAATTACCGTCCTGTGGTCACCGTGCTGCTTGTGGGGATAGCCATGGGCAGGGGTGGGGTGTCCTGGCAAGGGTCACCGTCCCATGCCAGTGTCACCGGGCGGTGGCAAAGGCTGCCAGGGCTGTGGCCCTGTGAGCAGCTGAGCTGTTGGCAGGAGGGCGACATGGCCCGGAGCACAGGGAGGTCACCACGTTGCAGACACTGACCCTAAAATAAACACCTCTTCTGTGCCCAACCCCCCAGAAAGAGCGGCTGTCACCCTTCGGGCACCCTCAGAGGCTCTCAGACTTGGCACGAGCCAGGGCTCTGCTGGCCACTCACCGGGGCCAGTGGCCAAGAGCAGAGGGCGAGGTTTGGCAGCTGCTCTTTGCTGTTGCACATTCACTGCTGGCGCAAGAAAAGGGAAGTGAAAATATTTGGGGCCGACCTCTCGCTTTCCTCACGCACCGAAGGAGGCACCCAGAGCTGCCACGGGACGGGAAGAGACCAAGCCCCATCCCTGCTCCCTCCCCATGGACAGCAGGAAGGAGGAAAAAGAAGAACCTTAGAGGGAAACCCTCGATTGGTGAGAAGGGAGTTCCCCCCGCGGCTCCAGGACCATGTCCTGGGTTGGTTTGCACAGCCCCGCGATGCTGATCCCGGTTCCATAGATACCGATGCCATGACAACCCTGACATCATCCCTGCTCCGGACGGGAGCTGCAGGGAAAGGCGCAGGGAGGAGGAGCACGCCCGCCCTGCTGGCACAGGGGTTGGCACAGGCTGGTGGGGCTGGGGGCATCTCCTGGCCCCGGCACAGCTCTGCTGCCCCACTGCAGCCCCGTGCCCCTTGCAGGGACCCCAGCTCGCAGGGTATACCTGTGGGGCAGGTGTGTTACACCCCTCACACACACGATGCAGCCACAGAGAGAAGGATTCCCGTGTGCTGGATCCTCTTTCCAGCTCCTTTCGGCCTTTTGCAGCTTTTTCAATCTGTTCTTTCTGGCAGGTTGGAGTCAGGATTTAACTGTTGAAGCTCATAATGATGCCACGCAGTTTTTTCTCAATTACAGGTGAGTCATCATCTCTCCAGGTCTATTTCTGACTCCCAGCAAGAAAAGCAGAATTCAGCCCTTCATTCCTCAATGCCACCAGCTCAGTAACCAGCACATTTTTCTAGGCAAAACCGAAATGGCCACGAAGAGAACGGCAGGTTGGTCCCTCCTGCTTTCTGCTGGCAGGATGGCTCGTGGAGCTGGCCAGGGATGGCACCCCAGTGCCAAGAGCATCATTGCCAGCTCATCCCTGAATTGCAGGTCAGGAGCAAAGACCAAATTATCTTGAAGGGATTACCCGAGGTGGGATTTTCAATCAGTTTCAGCAGTTTAGAAGCAGCTGTTCCAGCATCTTCAAAAATCTGTTTCATGTTCTGGGAACAAAACATCCCAAACCCATCAGCCCACAGTTCCAGGTGATGCCAAGGGCTGCCCTGCTCCTCGAGGGTGGCCAGTGCCAGGGAGGCAGGGAGTTCCAGGGACACTGCACAGGGAATCAGCTGCACCTCTGGGGTCTGCTCCTGGTTTTCTGATGATGTTGGGAAAGCCACTTCTTTCTCCCTTTTTCCAATGTATCTTGCCCAGCTCATCTGTCCCAGCTAGAGCAAGGATATTTTGAATAATGCAAAGCACTATTCAATAATGCAAAGCAGGACACTGCTTAAATCTTTGAGATGTTACCCTAGAACAAATCATGACCATTTCCAGACAGGTACGTGGTTTATACCCTTCATGGCATGACCAGACACTGAAATCCCTGTTCCTACATTTGTCCTTTCTTTGGGGTTCATCCCCCCAACTTCTGCTGTGTGTAGTGTTTATACAACCATTGCCCACATCATGGGGTTCCAGTTTTCTTCCCCTGCTCCAGCTCAGATAAAGCACAGGAGGTACCTCCAGCCCACATACAAACTGTCTTTCTGTCAGCTTCCCATTGCTGCAAGTCAGCAGATAAACAGAGCCAGCCAATAATGGGGAAGGATATTGCACCTTCCACATTATCCCCATCAAATGGAGAACAGCAGCGTTTGGAAATGGCACTTCCCAGAGCATTTGTTCAGTTTGAACAAGTTTTGTCTGTTTTTATCACTCCCACTGCATTTCAGGGACAGGGAACAAGGACAGGAAACAGACAGAGCAGTAGGCAGAAAACTGCCCAAGATCTGCCCATATTTTGACTTTACATGAGTTTAATTAAAGGTAGTGGAAAACCTGTATTTGCTTTCTGCTTCTGCTGGTCATGCCAACTTCTTACCTTCATCTCTGTGACAAAAAAAACCCCATAAGTTTTTCTCAGGGCTAAGTGTGTGGACATGACAACCTGGAGGAGACAAGATGTGAGGCTTTCTCCTTCTTCAAAACCTGTTCCTGTCAGCCCTACCCACTCAGCCAAGGGCTGATCAGGATCCTTTAGGTACTGGAAGGGGCTCCAAGGTCTCCTTGGACTCCCCCAGCCTCATCCAGCCCTGTGATCAGTGACCTCAACAGATCCACATCTTCCTTGTATGCGGGCCCCCAGAGCTGGACAGAGTGCTCCAGGTGGGAAAAGCCATGTGAAACCTCCTTATTCTGGGAACAGCTCCACCAAAGCGTGTTTGGAGTGAAACAATCCCAGCCTGGCTGCAGAGCCCAGCCCAAAGGAACCAGACTGGATCCAGATTCCAGTCACTGACTTCAGCAGCTCCCTGGTCTGAGCCTGCCCTGGCATGGGCGTGGGTGGGAAAACAGCTTGTCCTTCACATTCCCTGGGCAGCAGGCTTGAAGCAGCACTTTGATAGATGCTCGTGTAGCTGTTGCTCTGAAATGCTTTGCTTGCTGTTCATTAGAGCTTGGCCGGTGCTGCTTTCAGCCATCAGGAAAATGAGAGTTGATGGGAATATTGAGAGGAGCTTACAAGTCCATAGGGCCCAGTGGCAGAGAGAATGGGCTTCCTAATGAGCAATATCTTAGCCCACTATCCCTGTCTTCATGCTTTACACTCTAAGAGATCCAAAAATATCTGGAAGATCATTTGTCAGCTGGTTACTCATCAATTTGTGAAAGGTTTCTCAGGTGGGATTCAGCACATACTGTACTGGATAAAGCCAGCATTAAGTGTGCCAGAAAAAACTGTGGAAAACTTTGCTAAGTGAAATCACCGAGGGAAGATTGGGATAACAGAGCTCAGGGAGTTGAGGGAGCTTTGGTTTTGAACAGGGAGTTGATATCTCGATCCTTGCGTAAAACCCAAACTGAACCAAACCCCAAAAGGTTTCAAAACTCCTCTCATTGGTGCAGCCTCAACGGCTCAGGAGGAAACTCAGCATCTGCTCCTCCAAATATTTCACAGCATGAGAGTTTGGGGGATTTTGGCAAACCAGAATCTAATCTAATGCAGCCATTGCTCCCCACTTTGGGAGGAGCTTGAAAAAGAGGAACGAGGTCTCTTGCTGTTCCCCAAATCGGCCTCTTTAGGAGCACACTGGCAAGTCCCAGGTGCTGGGGACGTGCCAGCCAACAGCTGAGGTTGGTGCTGTCACCTGCAGCTTAGCACAGGTGAGCAGAGCTGCCAGGGACAAGGACATGGGGCAGCTCAAGCCATTCTGGACATGAAGATCTTCCACAACTCTCTACATCAAGTTTTGCTGCCAAAATACACTGAGAATAAAAATAATTTTTAAAAAAGCTTTGTTTCTTAACTGAACACAACCCTAACAGGTCCTCAGATTCATGAGCAGGATGCAACCTGATGGAAAAGAGATTTGTGGGATGGATGGAGATGAGAGATTTTATAACTGTGAATACTCTCAGCCCAGGCTTTACAAGCACATTAAAACAACCTCCCTGAAAGAGATTTTCATCTAAATAGGAAATGCATGCAAAGGCTGCCCTAACAGCTATTTTTACTCCCCTTATGCTGAAGTGGAAGCGTGGCTGCAGAAGATGAAGTGACTTACCTGGTGTCTAGCAAGAAGCTTATGACTAAAAAAGAACTGAATTTTGATCTCTAGAGCCTCCAGTCATGTGCTCTGGCCATGTGGGCATTGTCTTCTGTACCTTGTATAACTTTTACCAAATCTAAGCAGCAGAACAGGAGGCACAGTCAAAGAACCCACTTTTTTTTTTTTTTTTTTTTTTTTTTTTTTTTTTTTTTTTTTTTTTTTTTTTTTTTATGCACACCTGGATGGAAAAAGCAGGGAAGGCCCAGCTTTTCCTGACCATTCTCAGAATTCACACGGCAAGTCTCCAAACACTGGGACTTGAGTTTAGAACTAAAACTTGGTGTTCTGGGAAACATGGAAGGTTTTAGGGGCTGCATGAAATGCCTGGTGGGACAGACATTAAATTAACTCAGCTCTTTCCTTTCTCAGAGATCTGTTAACCCAAAGCAAAATTCCCATGAAAATCTGTGGGATTTCCT